ATCCACACACATGTGCACACATTGTTGTAGACTTGTGTGTCAATGACTGCAGTGTAACGTTGCATATCTGTAACCTACACTGGATCTATTAGCAAATAATGGTGTTTGGTGTTATGTGTTTTGTTTATTCACCAGCATTCATCGTGTAGATCACATGTCAAGTATTGTGCTGAGTAGCAGAAATACCAAGATTGGTAAAACAGGTTCTCACAGAGCCCAGGATGTGATGTGGAGACAGACATGTTAATAGATGGAACTCAATATACATTATATTACAATTTGGATTGGTTGTATGTGAAAGAAACCCCAAAATCATAGTGGCTTAAAGCATAACGGATTTATTCTCTCACAAAAAAGAAGTCGGGAAGCAATCAATCTAGGAGTAGGTCAGGAACCAAGATCCTTCTCTCTTTCTTCTCCATCATCTTGAGTGCAAGGGTTCTATTCTCAAGATTTCTCATTTTCAAGATGGCTGCTGGAGCCAGCAGGGAGGCAGGAAGACACAGGGCAGAGTGAGGCTTCCCCAGTTAAGTCAGCTTCTTTTAAGCAGCTTTCTCAGGAGTTCCATGGGACACTTTCCTTTTTATGTTGCAAATTACAATTTGGTCACATGGCCAATGAGAAATGCATTGTTTTGACCTAATATAATGCTAATTCAAATAAAGTGGGAGTCTGTTACTGAGAAAAATAGGAGAAGATGGATATTGGATGGCAGTCAGCAATCTCTGCCACATGGAGTTATGAACAAAAGACTGAGAAAGCTTAAAGCAATAAAACAGTTCACTCTGAAATCTAGACAGTGTTTTTTTGAGGAGGAGACACTTAATTTGGGATTTGAAGGATGAATAGGAGTTTCCTAAATAAAGAATAAAGAGAGAGAGAGTATTCCAGGCAAAAATAATAACATGTGCGGAGTCAAGGAAGGAATCTTGCATTACACCTGCCAATTAAGCCCATTTTGGTATTTCTGTTTATTTTTCTGTTATTGATAGTAGGTCCTAAAGTAATAGCTTAACTAATTTTTAATTAATCCAACAGTTATTCAACATCAACAGATTAAGCTATGTCAAGAATGATTATCCTGAAATAACTGCAAACAATTTTCCACTTGGACCAAAATAAGAACATTTTATCTGATGATAAAGTATTCCACATTTTAAAAATAATTGAGTTAGAGTACTTTGGCATCTTAAAGAGGAATCGATACAGAGAAAAGGAAAAAAAAGAAACAATGTGTCAAGGAAATTTTTGTCTTTTAAACTCTGAAGTTCTACAAAGCCCAGTTAAAACTGACTTGGTCTCTATCCTGGGGTCTATAAACCCACATTGAGAGCGTGAAGTTGGGGGATCTGGCCAAGTTAAAGTGTGTCACCTCCTATTCAGCTAGTCCTAATAGGACTGTTACTTTGAATCTGTGAAGTTGAGTTGTTCTTTTCTTAAAATGGTTTTGGAACCATAAGAAATCTCTGGGATTAGAGAGAGCTTTTCATGATTATCTCCTCTGGCTCCATTGGAGACATCAGAGTCTATTAAAAAGTTTCCAGAGAAACTTAAATCCTTTGAGAAACCTGAAAGTCCTGTAGTTTGAGGAATAAATCCAGTGAGACTGGAGGTGCCTGGAATGTCAATTCCCATGCCCACTGCCCAGGTTGTTCTTTGACATAGCTGAGGATCTCGTGAGATTAAGCCCATCACTTTTCTGTCCCAAACAACAGCAACAGAAGTAGAGTCAATACTTCATGGAATGCTGCTGGCGTTGAAACTGCCATGCTTTCTCAAAGGATTCAGCCCCACTAAGGCAGTCAGACGATACAGTCTTCAGATGTATTTTTATTTCGGCCAACTTTGGTTTTAGCTCCCTCTCTAATTAGGCAGTGTGCAGGCATTTCTAAAGGATGTGGTAAACCTCACAGCAGTACCTCCCTGCAGTTGTTCACTCTGATTCTTCTCATCCCAGAAGGCTCATTCTGAGGAAAGTCTTTTCTCGCCCCTCTAACCAAACCAAATTCTTCTTTTTGGAGTCGGAATCTCACTGTCACTCAGGTTGGAGTGTAGTGGCACACTCACAGCCGCCGCAGCCTCACCCTGCTGGGCTCAGGCAATTCTTCCACTTCAGCCTTCAAGTAGTTAGGACTACAGGCATGCACCACCATGCCCGGCTAAATTTTTGATTTATCGTAGAGATGTCTTGCCATGTTGCCTAGGCTGGTTTCAAACTCCTGGGCTCAGACAATCCTCTGATTGTCCCCAAAGTGCTGGGATTACATGCGTGAGCCACCACGCCTGGCCAAACTCTCCATATTTTATGCTCTCAAAGAGCCATGTGTCTATGTTTTATAACTTCTGTCAAGATTTTCATTTCACACTTATTGTATGTGACGATTTGAGGACCATCTACCTCCTCCACTCTACTGGAAGTCTCATGAGGATAGGCCCATAGATACTTAAATTCACTCTAACATTTTGCTTCTAGCACAGTGCCTGGTCCATAGCAGTTCCTCAATAAATATTGCTTAAGCAATTGAATAAATTATTTTATAAATAAGGCACTTCTGTTATTCCATTTCACACTGTACTCAGAATGTAAGAGTGAAAACAATTGATTAGCCCATGTGTGAGCCCATCTACAGATAAAATTTGGGTTTTTGGGGGGGGTTGTAATTTTTTATTTTAAAGACGTGGGATATAATTCAGGGTTAGGTATACAAATGTTCATTATGCTAGTACCCTTGTTGATGAGGTGTGTCCCCGCCCCTGGCAGTTTCCCACTACTCTCTCCCCACCCCCTGGCAGTTCCTCACTACTGCCAATCCTTTTCTTATAGTATTACAATAATTGTTCAAGGTCTACGTATGAGTGAGAACATGGGATCCTCAGTCCTTTGTTTCTGTGATAGGTCACTCAGTATTATAGACTCTAAGCCCATCCAAGTTGCTGTAAGTTCATAATTTTGTCCTTCTTTATGACTGCGTAATATTCCATAATGTATATGGAATTTTTTTTTTTTTATCCAGTCCTCTTTGGTTGGACAGCATGGTTGGTTCCGTGTTTTTGCTATTGTGAACAATGCAGAATAAACATGCATGTGCAGGTATCTTTTTAAAAATAATTGTTCTGCATTACACAAAAACACATCAAAGAAGTCTCAAGCCAGCAGATGCTTGACTTTGCACAGATGAAACTCAGTTGCAGTCTGAAGTGGCCTCACTGCAGACTCTGAACAGATTGAGCAGAACTGCTACTTGGCCAGACTGAACTTAGAGGAGTGGTGCCAACCCACCTCTGCTCCTCACTTTAGAAGTCAGCACTATGCTTTCCTGATATCTTTGCATTTGGAAAGATGTACAATTGTTGAAGGAGTTGCTTTGTTCGTCATCTATTTAAATAAGATGTTCATTTTCTTTTAACGAACACATATACATGTCTACGTTTTTAAAATAGAGTACATATCTAATACAATACTAAATGATGATATGTTTTAAATCTTTTCCCAAACATATGTTTGCAATTGTTAATAAAAGAGATTTTTTTAAAAAGAAAGAAACCTTCAAATAAAGGTCATATTAGCCACCAGATTTTTGGAAGGCAGGACTAATTTGGGGTACTTTGTGAAGATAAGCCCCTTCAATTGTCATGAACTGTTCTCACTGCATTTTGTCAAAGACAGAAACTGAAATAGTTTGGGAGTAGAGTAAGTCTTTGGTATTTGCTCTAAGTAGAACTATAAGACGTACAACCTGGTATTGTTTGAATTTGAGTTTTTTAACTCTCAAATATTAGGAAGGAAAGAGGAAAGATATCAGTGAGATTGCCTACATACTTTATTAAAAGCTTGTCCTTTTGTTAAGCCTGATTTGGAGAGTAAAACATTACAGAGTAAATCCAGTGAGACTAGAGGTGCCTGGGCTGTCAATTCCCATGCCCACTGCCCAGGTTGTTGTTTGACATAGCTGAGGATCTCGTGAGATTAAACCCATCACTTTTTTTGTCCCAAACAATAGCAACAGAAGTAGAATCAATACTTCACTGAATGCCACCTACATTGAAACTGCCATGCTTTCTCAAAGGATTCAGCCCCACTAAGGCAATCCTTAGTCTTCAGACGTATTTTTGCGAGAAATGTTTTGTGAGAAATATTTAGAACTTGGCTGCTTGTCAACTAAGTGATCTTAGGCAAGATTCATGGCCTCAACTATAACATGGGTATATCTTACATGGCTGTTTTGAGAACTAATGAGACATTTGTATTGCGCCTGGCACAGGACAGGGCAAGGTCAATAGCAGGGTCCCAGGATTGAACATCTCCACTGCCCTTCATGCCAGCCCTTCCTGCATGCACACATGTGTACTGAACTTGTTTCTGTTAGCTAATTTCCTTTCTCTTGTCTGAGCGGGAGTATGAGCTAGGAAAGGGAGTATTTTCATTATCATTCCGCAAATATTTTTTTCAGGGCTTCCAGTTTACCAAGTACTGTTCTCGTTGCTTGGAATTCAGCAATGAACCCAACATATAAAGTCTCCATACTTATGCAGCTTATATCCAAGGGTCATATGGAATATGGAGATGATTTATAAAATATTGCCTGCTACCGTGACCTCGTGGTTGTGTTTTTTATCATTTGAGTGAGTCGTAATTATTGAGAATAAGATGTTTTTGAAGTGAGGTTCTATAGCATCAATAATTCAGGATCCCCTTCTCTCCTTCCCCTTTTCCCCATCCTTCCCTACCCTGCCCCCTGCCCACCCTAATTCGCTCTCATTTTCTCTTTTACCCTTCTTTCCATTTGTATTCTTGAACTATGGGAAAACATCTTTACCTGTGCTACATTTTTTTCATTCTTAGCTTGGTCCAAATTTGAGTTCAATTCAGTTCTCTTCATGGGAAGTATGTTTTAGCTCCTTGAGGATGAAGGGAGGGTTATTTGGTGGTGATTGGCCTCACAATGGATTCTTCCACTGATAGGTGCCCAGTTGAATTACACATTTCTCTTTCTTGTTAGATTGTTGGCTGCGACCACCAGCTGGGAAGCACCGCCAAGGAAGATAACTGTGGGGTCTGCAACGGAGATGGGTCCACCTGCCGGCTGGTCCGAGGGCAGTATAAATCCCAGCTCTCCGCAACCAAATGTAAGACGTCCAGAGATGAGGCAATCTTTGGACTTGTTGACTTGTTATCCTCCCCTGGCTCAGCTCTGGCTCCCTCAGCAGCCAGAGAATAACACCTCCACCAAAATGAAAACGAACTTTAAAATGTTGTGGAAAGCCTCACGTTCCTGCCGTGGATACGCTTAGGTAGGACAAGTCAGGTCACCAGTTGCAATCCCAAGGAGGGAACCTTTCCCTCTGAAGCTCAGCAGGCGTGAATTGGAGACAGGTCTAGAGATGCTCTCCATTCAGACGTGAGCTTTGCTGCCCAGCATGAGGACGAACTGCATTCCAGCTTCTGCCTGCTTTGTAGTCTGATGTACCTGCTGGAACAGAGCAGGCAGAGTGGGAGGATCTGCAAAAGTTCTGTGAAATCACATGGTCTTCATTTATAGAGTGGGTTTGGGTCAGCCCTGACACAGGTCCTTTTAGAATTAATATAGGGCAGTGATGAGGAGAAGGCTTTTATTGACCTTTGTCAATAGTAGCCAAAAACGGTGTGCTTAATATACATGTACGTGTTTGATGGGAACGTCACATGATCATCTCATCTGATCTTTATAACAACCTCATGAGCAAGGTGCTGTGAATCCCCATGTTCTGGATGGGATAACAGAGGCTGAGCCAGATTATGAGACTTGTTCTGAGTCACACAGCTATCAAGTAATAGAGCCAAGATTTGCACTTAGAGTCTGACTGCAGAACCTACTACTTACTTGTTCCTCTGGAAGGTCTCATGGTCCTGCTGGCAGTCTCTGTGATGGGACATTTGTAAAGCAGACAAATGGACCCAGGGAAGAGACCTCCGATGTCTGCGTAAGTGAATTCTGCCAGGGTGGGTGGCATAAGTTCTCATGATACCTAAGCCAACAATGGTGTCATTAATCTGGATTTTTTTTTTTTTTAGTTGGAGTCTCACTCTGTTGCCCAGGCTGGAGTGTGGTCACTACAGCCTCGATCTGCTGGGCTCAGGCGATCCTTCCACCTCAGCCTTCCGAGTAGTGGTGTGGCTAATTTTTTGATTTATGGTTGAGACGAGGTCTTGCCAAGTTGCCAAGGCTGGTCTCAAACCCTGGGTTCAGGCAATCCTCTCGCCTCTGCCTCCCAAAGTGCCGGGATTATAGGCATGAGCCACCACGCCCTGCCTAATCTGGGTCATTTTATAATACACTGTCCTCTGTGATAATCACCACTCTAGGCACTGCAGCAGATGCAGATAGAAATAAGACAGCCCTTGTACTCAAGGACATACATTTTTAGAATTATTTTGACCTCACTTGGCATGTTGTCTCCAGATTTTGCTATTATCCAGAATTCTTCTGTAGATCCTTGATTGAATATCACTTTCCACATGTCTCCCCGGTTTGGGAAATGAGAGTGAATATCTTTACTGAGTGTGGTTTTGTTCTCTTTACTTGTTGACGAGCTGGAGAAAAACAGTTGACATATGGGAGAGGGGGTTGTGGCTTTAAATGGACTTACAGTTCACAAAGAAAGGTAGAGGCGGTTGCCCGGGTATGCAGAGGAAAACTCTTCAGAGAAGTCATGAAGAGGCAGCTTGCCAGAGGACTAGGCTTGAGGGAAGAAAAGGGGGCAGGAAGAAAGACTGGAGCCTTCTAAGCACATGAAAAATTGGAGGTGCCAGTTTAGGCAACTCTTCACATTCTAACGTCCCTGGAGGCAATGAAAAATGTGATTCTGCAAAAAATAAAAATTTAAAAGACTCTCAGATAAGGTGAAGAATGAGGTAACTTAGACATTGATATAATACATTCAGGAGAGATTTTTTTCTTTGGTCATGTGTGTTGGTAGCTTCTTCTATAAGATAAAACATGTTTAAGTTGGAGGATGGAAACTAGAAATGGGTAGAGGCATAATTCTTTGTAAATCTCTGAAAGCACAATTGGATATTTGAAAGAAGTTACATTTAAAAGATCACTCCTAGAGAACTCTTTAAAATCTTTCTAATTATTTTGGTCACATAGTTGAATCAGTGTTCATTATCTAGAAATCTAGAAATTACTATAAGGCACAAAAGGTGATGCCAAGCCTTTGTGCAGTAACTAACATGCAGTGACTTCTGAGAGCCGAGAGCACTTTTTTTCTTTTTTCTTTTTTTTTTTTTTTGAGTCGAAGTCTCACTCTGTTTCCCAGCCTGGAGTGCAGGGGCACACGCTTGGTCACCGCAGCCTCGACCTGCTGGGCTTAGGTGATCCTTTCACCTCAGCCCTCCAAGTAATTGGGACTACAGGCGTACGCCACCATGCCTGGCTAATTTTTTGATTTATTGTAGAGATGAGATCTTGTCAAGTTTCTCAGGCTGGTCTCGAACCTGCAGACTCAGGCAATCCTCTCATCCCCCAAAGTGCTGGGATTATAGGCATGAGCCACCATGCCCGACCTGAGAGCACGTTTTTAATGGTGGAGATCCTTTTCCGTTCGTTCCTAGGGGAGCCGGAACATTCCTCTTACCCCCTTTTGGGGGAGATTGGTGACATCTGGGGCCTGAATGACTGGAACAAAGGAGGAGAAGCTCAGAAGCAACAAACTGAAGTAAATTGAGAGCCATATGTCATCTCCAGGTCTGCACATAAATACCTCAATGAAAAGTGCTCTATTCAAGACCCACAGTGGATAAATTATATAACACACAGCCTGATGATTATACGTAATGACAAAATGCAATTGATTCGTTTACCTTAGCACTGATGATGCCTCATGACAAAATGATTTGTATCAATAAAGCCCGGCATCTGCACACACCTCACCACAATCTATAGCAGATGCTGAGCAAACTGCCTCCCCCGCGGAAGAATCTTCCATCCCGTATTTACAGACTGTGTGGCGACCCACTGGCAGGGAGGATTAGGCTGCTCTGTGGGACCCGGTGTACTGGTCAGGTAAACAGTTCTCCACTCCTGGAGGAGTCCTGCCAGATCCTTCCCCTGTGTTATGCCAAAAGGTACCATAAGCAGCCACATGCTTTTCTCGAATGTCTAGTGTTGGATTCCCCACATTGAACTCATTTTCTTTCTGAACGTATATCCAAGTTTTCTTCCCCCTATATGTTGTCAAGCCTCAGAAAAAAAACAAGAAGGTGGAGAAAGATCATGGTGGAAAGTGCCAGCAGGAAAAAGAGAAGTAGGAGAAATTTATCAATTGGCTGCCATTTGCTGGTGAATTGTTTTTAAACCATCTTTTTATTAAAAGACATTGCAGTTGCCCACTACAAATACAGACAATGGAAGCAGAGCAAGATCAAGGCACTCTTCCCACTTGTTTTAAAGAAGACTGTCCACTGGTAGCATTCAGTCCTTCCATGTTTTCCTGGTCACTTCTCGACTTCCCCAGCCCAACAAAAAGAGTCAAATACAGCTGATGTTGCCTGCTTTTGGTTCTTGAAATTTAAATGCTCACTTTCTCACTGGCTTTTTATTGACTTCCCCTGTATTATGCATTTTCCAAGCATACTCAAAGCATTCTTAGAACTAGAGCCGGCCCATTTGCTATCAATTTGACATCTCCAACTTTGCAGACCCCCATATGTATCTGTATGCTTTGAAATCACCCGATTGTCCTAAAGCTCTCTCCCTCATTCTTGAATGGCAAGGACTGGTTACCTAATGTATACCAAGATAAAGTAAATCTCCTACTCCCTGAGGATGTGCTTCTCAGACTGTAGCCTGGGCTCGTGTAGAATAACTACGCGTAAGCATATTCCTGGACTATCATTCTGGCTGGAAGATTTTGAGGGAAAGCATGTTTATATACTTTATCTTATAAAGTGTGAAACACATATGAATCTTTTAAAGAAAGCACAAAACATTAAACAAATGTCCACCTTGCCTCTGGCTGCTTCAGGCTGTATCCACAAGCCACAAGGATATATATTCTTTCATTCAACAGCCCGTAATTATCGGGCACCTGCTATGTGGTGAGGAGCTGATCTAGGTGCTGGAAGCACAGCAAAGAACAAAACAGACAAAATCCATTTTTCTCGTGGGACTTATTCATATGTGGGACAGGCAGACAGACAAACAAATAACTACATAAAACGTATCTATGTCCTCTGGTGGGAGGAGTCGTGCAGAATATAAAGCAGTGAAGAAGAATGGAAATAAGTATGGGCTGCCAGCCAAGGGTGTTGGAGGGGAGTTGCAATTTTTATAGGTGAGTGAAGGAGCGGATTCGCTGGGAAGATGGCAGTTGGGCCAGGATCTGAGGAAGGAGGAAGAGAATTCCAGGAAGAGAGAAAAGCAAGTGCAAAAGTCCTGGGGTATCCCCACTCGTGACATATATTACGAAGAGCAAAGAAACCAGTGTGACTGAAATGAAGGGAGTTTCAAAAGGCTAGAGAGAAAATGAAGGTAGGAAGTCTGTGAGGCAGGTGGATAATGGTACAGATATTTCGGGTTTTGTTAGGACTTTGGATCTTAGCCTGGATGAGATGAAAAGTCACTAGAGGATTTGGAGCAGAGGAATGCCTTCATCTGATTTCTGTCTTAAAAGGATCACTCTCTCAGTTCTATAGTGGGGTCAACTGTGGAAATAGAAACAGCAGCAGGGGAGCTCTTCCAGCAAGCCAGGCAGGGGTGACGATGGTTTAGATTGGACCAGAAGCTGTGGAAGTGATGAGAAGTGGTCCAGTTCTGGATTTACTGTATCTGTGTTTCTTTGAATGGGAGAAGACATCATTGATTGAAAGAGGCACCGTGATGTGCCACTAAGAAAGGAAAAAAAGCTGCCATTGAAACTAAGAAACTGTGACGCCATGCTTCTCAATAACTTAGATTTTTGGTCGGGATCGGTGACTCAACTGTAATCCCAGCACTTTGGGAGGACTATGCAAGTGGATCGCTTGAGCCCGCAGGTTCGAGACCATCCCAGGCAACTTGGCGAGACCTCATCTCTACAATAAATCAAAAATTAGCCGAGCATGGTAGCGCACGCCTGTGGTTCCTACTCCTTGGAAAGCTGAGGCA